GACCAAATTTAAGTTTTTATACTAACTGTAAGGTGCAAGGTTAACGACTGTGTAACTAAAATGGCATCACACTATGACTACCCACAGCCCTAATAGTATATCAGTGATATTTGAGCAGATTTTATAAATTATCTGAGGAACAGTACCCTTTTACAGTTATATTACTACAATAAGCAGAATCTACTGACGTAATAATCTCCAGTTTATAAACTCACATCCGAATAATACATGCACCTAATTTCGTCTGCGACATTTTTATTTTACCAGTTCTAAGTGGAAGGAACCAGATGTGAAAGGAGTTGATTCAGCAGGTGAAGTAAAGTATGCATCTGACGGATAAATATAGTAAAACAAGCAGGCGTACCAATAAATAACTATCTCGAGAAATATTAGTCTCTTAGTTTCCATTAGAAAGCGTCGTAGTTATTGAGACATTTAATAAACTAAGTTTGTCAACTTACTCAGTATCCATAGATTAAAATAAAAATTAAACCAACAACAACAACAGCGACATCCAGCGCTAATCACCATCAGCGGGAGGGATACGAAAGAGGTCACTTCATTCACTTATCTAGGGAGCATTGTCTCAACTACAGGAGGAACGGACGAGGGTGTGTAATCGAGAATCGGGAAGGCGAGAAACACATTCATCAACCTGAAACCAATCTGGAAATCTTCGTCAGTCAGCATCAACAACAAAGTGATTCGGATTTTCAATACAAACGTCAAGTCAGTTTTTCTATACGGATGGATCAGAAACTTGGCGGGTCACCAAGAATATTTCCAACAGCCTGTTGCAGACCTTTATCAACAGCTGTCTTCGTTCTATACTCAAGATCAGATGGCCGGAAAGAATCAACAACAAGAAACTATGGGAACAAACAAAACAAGAACCAATCGCCCAACAAATATGCAGGAGAAAGTGGAGATGGATGGATTGGACAGTCGCTGAGGAGGCCGCTGGGTGACATCGTGCGTCAGGCCATCAAGTGGAACCTGGAAGGGAAGCGGCGTCCAAGGGTGACATGGAGGAGATTGTGTGAAGAGGAGTTGAAACAGTATGGAATAACATGGATGCAGGTGAAAAGTACAGCAGAAGAGAGAAACAAGTGGAGACGTGCAGGTGAAGCCCTATGTTGCACTAGGAACCCAAGGGAACAATAATAATACAAAGTGAACGCGAAACACTCGATCAATTTTTTTCAAGCTTTTGAAATAAAATCCGATGAATTTCCTGATCCGTGATTAGTGAATTATACTGAATAACAAATGAAAGGGGAAACAAGTCCTAACGGATGCTTAACTTAGTATCACCGAGAAATGATTTAATGTCGTCTTATCCAATAAGTTGAACTCATATATCCTACAAATACACTTTATATGTGATTTTTACACCTGCCAGAAATCTTTGTCTTTGCTTTCGGTGGGTTGGTGGCACAGTGGCTAGGACTCTAGCCGACCATGCACACTGTCCGGAGTTTGATCCCCTACCGACGCACACCCGATATCTATGGTCGGCCTGCAAAATTTTGGCTACCGATATCCATGCTGAAAATGCCATACTTGTACTGAAAATACTGTGTGGCATCAAGCTGTAATCAAAATAATTAAATAATAAATAACAGTCTAAGGTGTCTCCTTGAATAACAGCATTTGAGTTTATTTCGCCTAGTAGAATAAGACAAACCACTAAAGAAGCATACTTGGGAAGATCAAATGAATGAATTAACTTGCAATGTTCACATTCAGTCTTCCAGTTTCTATATTACAGTAAAATTCTCGACTAATACCTATAGCAGAACTGAACTTCCCATGTTCTGAGATTACTGGAGTCTAAAAATTAAAATCTTTAGCTGTCCTGAATGGGTGCTGTTATTCACGATTTTGTGGTTGTCTCTTCATAATAGCTGATCTAAAATTCGTTTGAATCCTTTGAAGGGTTTAGACATTAATTCGCGCATCCGTTCAGGTTAATTTGTCGATTTTGGATGATTGGCATCATTGGTAATATTATTGTGGTGAGAGCTGTCTGCTAGCCAAGACTGTAGAAAACAATTTACGACAGTGTTTACCTCCCAAATCGGAGTCATGAGAAAAAACAAAAACAAAGCCTAACCTTGAGGAACTCATCAACTAGTCACAGCAGACTTAATGTGTGCAAATACGATTCGCAGATATGTGGTCCAACTTTCTAAGAAACGGCCACAAAGAGATGACAAAATAGCCATCAGCAAGAAAACAACCAATCAGAAGACGCTGTTTCTCTGTTAACAATAACGAATAACAATGTACATAAAAATCTATAAGTATCTATTGACTTTCTCAATAAAAACGGTCTGTTGCATGGCAGTTGTCTTTTGTCGTTACATTATTACTTTCTTCAGTTATCAGCTGAACATAGGCTTTAAGCAACATGCCCACGATTCGTTCTGTTACCTAAATGCCTCTTTAGGTAGCTCCACGACTTCCTATAAGCTTTGATCTCCTACTCACATAATCTCCTGCTTTTTAAACTTGAAGCGCACCATATTTGTCGTTTCCCCTTTGGGTTCAACTGGGGATTCTCTGTGACTTTTTTTTTCCTTCACGTTCCCAGTGGAACACAGGGCTTCAAGCTAGTGGCTTGAAGTTTCGGTAGCAGTGTTTATTTTGCAGAATGAGGTTGCTAGCCTCATGCCCAACCTTTCCTCTTCACCAGCATTATTTCTGGCTTAGTGAGGTAAAGGAGTGCGTCGGCCGGGTATCGATCCCCGGACCATGTGCATAGTCGGCCAGCGTCCTAACCGCTATACCACCGACGCACACTCTGTGACTAAGTATAATTATTTCCATTTACTCAAACAAAGTGTTAAACAATTAGAATTGGCTGGTGCAATTAAAAGGGTTATCTTTACAATCGCTTGTTATTGCATTTCTTGCACTTACTACATACAGACGTACATTTCAACGTCAAATGTATTGCTAGTACTACAAAACTTTGGTTTCACAGCAATTTCTTGTGAAAACCTCACTAAGCTTTACGTATCATCTATATCAGTGTATCTTCTAAAAGCAGAATTACGCATAACTGGTTGTGTTACGCCCCCCAACTTTGGAAATACCTGTAACGAGTAAAGACATGGCAGCTTAGTGTGGAGAGTATTATGCGTGTATACACACTTACGTTGTGTGTGTGTCATTTTTGGCCAATAAAAAAAAACAGAACAGTTCACTTTAATTGATGAATTTTAACTCCTTCGAAGCTCAAAATTAGGGTTAACTTACTTCGCTTTTAAAGCAATACGCTTTTTTGAGATTTTAAGAACTTAATTCATGCACCTCTACATTGATAGAGGTATATAATAAGTAATAAAAGATTTTCAAAAGAATAGACACGGAACAAAGAGTACTGTTTTCGATAAATTCATCATCAGGTTCTACAATTATATATACATTATAATGAATGAATGAATTAGTCTTATGAACGACATTAATGTTTAAATAACATCAAATCAATAATATTGATAAATTACAGCTGAACAGCATCAACATCAAATAAACTGAATGTCAGGAGAATCAGGAAAGGTAATAGTACAAATTCATGAGTTTATAGTCTCTACTGAGGGCCAGGGCAGTAGTAGGGGCTGGACTTGTTTCTTTTGGACACAGAGCGCTGGTTGTTTGAGGCGAATTGCAATAGCCTCTGCTGTTTGGAGTAAGCGGTGCTTCGACGATTTTGGTAGTTTGTTAGGCACCTGGTATATTATAGAGAAGGATTCTTCTACGCTGGCTTTGTGACCGGTTTGCACCAGATGGTCTAAAATCGAGCTGTTAATAGTTTTAACCACACCTTTACTTAGCCATAGTGGTATATGTTCTCGAGGACGAAAAATCAAGTTCCTAGAGCAACGGCCAACATAACTCGCTCCCCCACAAGCGCAGTTGAATTGATAAATACAATTTGAAGTGGCCAGTCTAGGTACTTCATCTTTGGCGCTACCTCGACTGAGAGATGAATGGGCATTTTTAATCAATTAATAAAAGATTACTAATAGTCATTCTATCAATGTGGATTCATGGGAAAGCTAGTAACAGATTCAGGACATGTTTTACTAATGACCCTACAGGCCTTCGCTGCACACTGAAGATCAATTAACCAGGAAGAATTAGCAGCAGAGAACTCTGGAAACGAGCCAGCTGAGGACAAATCACTCAAAAACTATGCCAAAGAAAATAGAGATGTATCAAACTGACAATGAGAAGACTAGTGAGCGACACAACACACCAATCCTACAATTCGAACCCTTATAACAAACGAGTCGGTTGTTAATTAAAGCGTGACATAGAGGAGATCTCATGTGAGAAGGAGATAAGAGCTTATGCACAATCTTAAAGCCAGCTGAGGGGAGCTGCATAGGACAGGAAGAAATGGAAGATATGCTGTTGAAAGCCAATGTTACACGCCGAATCAATAATAATAATTATTAATATAACGTAGTCGACGAATTTCTCATAACCCTATATCTGTTTGAATTCCCATTCATTCTGTCCACTTTAAACCAAATAAGCAGTGTTATATCACACCATGTAAGATCAATGCTGCATTAACCAATAAAACATGGTAGTAGAATTAAGTAAACAAAAAATCTACCAAAAGCAATGAAAAAACATAGTATTGTCTATTGGATTTACTCAAGTTGTTTTAAAAGTCAGAGTAAGTCAAGCATATATTCAAATGTGAATTATTCTATGGGTAACTTTTATCAGTCTCTTCACAAATGAACATTGTGTGTGTGTATGTGTGTCACTGTGTGGATAAATGACAATAACTTATTCTTGAGTCCACACTAGTCAACTGTAACAAGTGAATCAAATATATGTGTATATCATAATAGAGCTTTCGTGAAAATAAACAATTTGTATTCTGCCAAACATGTTGCCATTGGCTATCAAAAATATATGTGTTGCTTTTAGAAAATGTGTGTTCAATAAATTTTGAAAATGTATAAATTCTCAGGTAAATGATTACTATGACGAAGATAAAGTTGAAAATGTTGCTGCCACTCTTATTATACTTATCATCACTTTGTCTATTTTTACAAATTGTAAACTCACAGCCATGGACTCCTGATCTTCAGAAATTGCTAAAGCTTCACAATAAACTGAGACATGATTTGATGGAATGTAAGGTACCGGGTCAGCCTCCAGCCAAATATCTTCCAGATCTTGTAAGTCTATCTGTATTTATCTTCTTATTCTTATTCTATTTGTGGCTAACTAACATTAGTAACAAAATTTATATATATATGGTTTCTTTCAGAAATGGGATAATAATCTCGCCTGGCATGCTCAGCAATTAGCAGAAGAGTGTTTCTTCAGACATAATGATGTCAAGTTGGATAACTACGAATACGTTGGCCAAAATATAGCAGGTTATCAAACTGTTGAGTTGTAAGTAACAAGGTGTTCATGTGCTCATTAATTTCTTACTTTCAGGGCTGTTAAAGCATGGTGGGATGAATATAAGGACTACAATTATTGGTGGAAACATTGTTATGGTGAATGCGGGCACTATTTACAGGTCAGTTAGTATAAAATTGGAAAATCTGTGAGCATCTTGAGTGATATCACAAACACCAGTTAACAGTACAACCCTTAATTTAAATCCTTTTTTAATAGTAGCAGCTTTATTCTGAAACACTGTTAACACAATGTACAGAATTTCCATGTATGGTATTTCCTCTTTGTCCAGGATTTTCAAATTAAAGACCAAGTGATAGTAGATAGTGTGAAACAGTTCTGTATGACCTGAAGCACAAATCAGTCCATTATGATATCTCTTCTTTTTCTCCTTCGATAAATACACGACATTCTGTTGAATGCCAATAATAAAAATTTCAGGAGTGAATTTTCTGAACCTACGATACTGCCTAGAAATGGTCATCTCATGCGTGTATGTGTGTGTGGGGGGGGGATAAGCTGCCATCCAGGATAATACTTTTTCTCACGTTTAGTAGAAACCTGAAAACCACAGGTTATAAATGTCTTTGAATACTCGCCGGCGTAAAGATAAACTATTAGAGGTCATATTTTACTAAATTTAAACTAACTTGATAGGACAAACAATATGCAATATAATGATGGAGGTTTTCGGAAGCCCAGGTCTTAATCAGGCTGCCGAATTTATTGTTACATAAGCCAGATCATTAAAATTACTATACTGAGAGATTAGAAAACACTAAACCTTATAAAGACATGACTGTACTAAGATTTTTCCAATTATTTTCCTGCTCCTTGATTGTAGTATACAGTATTAATTGTAACATTGAAATCAAGGCTAAAGAAAGTGAAAGTATGTAAGCTTGCGCTACTATATTACTACCAATCTGGATATTTTTTAATTTGAATGGTAAGAAGCTTTCTGATGTCCAGTATTAAATGGCTGATGAAAGTTAGTTTTTCTGTTGAATTGAACTTGGGAAGAAAGCTGCAAGCACTAGGTTTCATGACTTCTTATAGTTTAGTAACATGCAAAACTGTGATTTTATCAACATTGGCTAAACTCACTAAATCAGCATCACTCAGAAGAAGCATAATTAATGAATACGCGTATAAGGTATTATATCTATTTTTGAATGATATCTAGTGTTTAGAATAAACCGTCTCCTTCAGCATCCTTCACAGCGGTCAAGATAACAATCCATTCAATAAAATATACTTTTGTTTAAATTCATGTAAATGAAGTAGACGCGGTTTCACAAACTTTGAATTTAAAGCTTGTACAAATACATGTATTGCTAATTATCACTAAAAAGTTTAGCTCAATGTTTATACGATCTCTTTCATTCGCTCAGGTTTTGATGACGTAGTCAGTAGGGATCAAATATTTAGAAATTTATTAATCTATTCTTCATCACTACACGTCAACTGTACTCTACGAAATAATCTGTTTTTTTCAGATGGCCTGGGAGAATACTACTCATGTTGGATGTGGTATTAAAGACTGCAGAGGTACATCATTTGGATTTGGATTATCTATCGTTTGTAATTACGGTGAAGGGTAAGTAAATTAAACAACAATGTGATTGAAAAGTTATAAAAGAAAGCATTAAAATTCATCCGTAGACATTTCTAAAACCTTGTTCTTGTTTATTGTATTTTAGTGGCAATTATCCTGGTCGATACCCGTATACATCAAAGCCAGCTAGTGAATGTGGTAAAACACCAGTTCCAATTAAAACGACACCAAGGCCAGCTGTAATCAGAACATCTCAAAAGCCACCAGTTACAAAGAAACTACCGAAGCCCGACTGGACAACACTTATATCCACCTGGAGTCAGTATGCTACTACGCAACAGCTTAAAGGAACTGTGACACAAACATGTATTTGTATTAACTAAAACTTCTGAATGAATATTGAGCTTTCATTGTTGTTTTCTAAGAATATAAATGTTTAATTGTTGTCTTTATTAACATTTTTTCAATAATGAATCTGAAATTGCGACTGTTTTCAATAGAGGTATCGAAATTACTTACTAATGTGCTCTAATAAAAACTAAGATTGACGGGAAACTTAATTTTGAAGAGAGTTCAGACTTGCATACGTGATTGACTACTAGTAAACATTTCAGACACGTTTGCTGTCCATTTCTCAGTTTAAATCAAATTGCTAGGGTCATCCATTTTAGGATTGACACCAAGCTCTCAGGCTCGTCTAGTCTACCAGACAATTCTAATTACGGAGAAGAGGGAATTCTGGGAACGGATTAGTGCGACTACCTAGCTAAAAACAGCCTCAATGCTTATGAAAATCCAAAACAATGAAAAACTAACTGAGTTCTAATTTACTGGTCTAATAACACACCCAACTGATCATCATGGAATTCGATTCAGCATAAATTAGGGAGAGTAGTCCGATTACTTATTGATTAAATCATTTTCGATAAATCATAGAAGAATCCCAATAGGTCGATACATCGTATAAATTTTTTCAAGAGTCTGTATTTGGATTTCATTTCCAGGGGAGCATCTCAAACACAGTCTGTATACATTCACTTTGAACTTCACCCGTCTACTACTTTCCCTCATATATCAAACCTCACATTCTGAACATTTCATTCTATAGACACGATGGTTTGTATCATTTTGAGAAATTTATCTGTGACAATTACCAAAACTTTCTTTAAAAAATTAGAGTGCTTGAAATAAACTTTATTTGAAGTAAGTACTCTTTGAAGTTGTTCACAGACGTTATAACACAACTAGAAAACCACAGAAAGCGATAGAAATATCTCCCATCATCGCATTTTTATTAACTCTCCTACCTGATAATGAACTGCGTCAAAACTGCGAAGGTATCCTGTCGAATAAAACGCATTTGACCACTATTTTGTCGAAGGACAAACGTCATATATTACAAACCTTAAGATCGAACAAATCGATTATTATAACTGAAGCTGACAGGGCGATGTCACCGTGATTCTCAGTAGAGAAGATTATGGCGAAAAAGCTTTGAAATATATCGAATAAGGTTCATACGCCCTAGTGCTCATCAACAAAGTATCTGATACTATGAATAAAGTAAAAGTAGAGGTTTGTGATCCAGTTATGTTTTCATTATTTCCCAAAACAAACTTGGCTGTTAGATTTCATGGAAGGCTGACAATACACAAAGTAGATGTTCCTTTAAGAGGAATCATTGATTTCACTAATTCAGTGAAATATACTTTACCAAAGAACACATATGAAAAATTCTGAAACGGCTTCACTACAATATTCCTTCAAACATTAAAAATATTGAGGAGTTTAAAAGAAAAGTGATGGATATAACCATTGAAGAAGATGTTATTTTGTCAAATTTAATAGTATTCCTATATATGATTCAATTGATACTATGAAATATGAACTAGAAGACAATCCAGAAGTACTAGCTAAATGTTCATTATCAATCGAAGACACAGAATGCCAAAAGCTTTGTTTGGAATCTACTTATTTTATTCTGATAGGTAAACTATATTGTCAGACAAATTGAGTTGCAATAAGGGTTACCAGCATCTCCAATTGTAGCGAATCTTTTTATGAACCTTGCATATTTCAACCACATCGAATGCAATAAGTAGGAGAGAGGCGATAGACTTATCACCTGTAAGGCAGACTATAATGTAGCAAGACAGATGAAGTCCATCTAGTCGGGAGTGAGGATGGATTTCTCGACGATGGCACTAGCTGGCGGGTGCGCTAAAGTCAAGAAACATTAGAAGTAAGAATTCATGGGCTACTGAATGAGGGCACAGTGGCTGAATGTTCTACGCGCTTGCTTTGCAACCGGAAAGTCCTGGGTTTGACGCCCAGTTGGTACGTACTGCCGATGAGTCCCAAAGTAGGATGAAACATCTATTCAGTACTCTCTGGTTTTCAGTAGTACTCTAACTAATGTCAATTCTTTAAATATTCCCATTTATAATATTAGGACAAGACATATAAGCGAACAATATTGTTTTCAATTAGATCTTCTTCAGGCTTTACTCTAATTTACATAGATTTATATATAAAATTTTAACCAATGACGGTGATTTTGGGAATCAAATAATAATCTTAGTAATAATAATAATGTGGTAAATGTTTTGAGCGAAATTAATAACGATGATTATAATGATCACGAAAAATACCCATTTATTAATAAGTAAAAACACATTTTTTGTTCAGCGAAGAAATTTCTTTTCAACGACTTCATTTTCAAGCTGTACAGTCGTATTTATATTACAGAAAAGGTCATTAAGTGATAAGAATAACGATAATTAAAATGTTATAAGGGGTAGAGTTGAAGTGGATAAATTACAAAATTATTAAAGATTGTTTTATAAGTGAATTGAAAAATGTTTTAAAAATGTCAAGTGTTAATATATGTGTAAAACTTGGGCACTGTGGTAGTAAGTAATTCCATATTAGTTTGTTTATTAGGTATATCACACAGTGAAACAGTATTATTTACTGGATGACGTTCATAATCATATCAATTGATATGATTATGAACAATAAATTTTGTTCCAAACGTCATCCAGTAAATAATACTGTTTCACTGTGTGATATACCTAATAAACAAACTAATATGGAATGTCAAGTGTTGTCTAAAAATTTTATAAAATTAGAGTACGATTACGATAAGAATGAAGATGTGAAGTGAAGTGGAAAGAATTCAAGTGATAAAATAAAATAAAGTAAAAACTAGAAAGAGCATTACTATGACCAAGGTAAAGAAAGGGGTTTGACAAAACGTTTTTGGACACATAATTTAGGTTTCTGTTCATGTATAGCTTAAGCTTCGGCTATGCACAAGTGAAGAAAACGTAAACTTTTGGAGCTATTCGATTTTGCCATGTAGATAACTTTGAAAGATGAATCACGTGGGGCTAAATGACCTGACTCTAACAGGTGATCACAGATAGACGACTTCGCAGTTCTACGTTCGCCTTTCACTAACCAGACTGGATAATGATAACAAAATATTGATAATAAGGTTTATGCAGGTGATAAGAATAACAAAGATAGTATATGGACATAAGTGTATAAATAAATTGGGTCAAATCTTAAAAGGTGAAGTGGAACGATAATCAGAGTTTAAATAAATATTATAAAAGTACGAAGGAGGTGGAAAATAAGAAAGGGTGGGAGGGTTTTGAATACAATTCACCTAGGCCAAGGGAGAGACAAAGGTAGAACAAACTTTTTTTGTATGCAAAGACTAGGATTGTTCTCTCGAATTCCCATAGCTTCAGCTAGGTGTAAAAGACGGTTTCTGATTCCATTCGAAAGACTCTATGGAATACGACAGATAACTTTGAAAGCACTATTTTTGTCCACTTGGTGACCGCTATCAATCAAATGAGCCAAAATAGAACTTCGTATGGATTTTATTTGACCTTTTCCGAACCATGAAGGAAGATGCTCATTAATGCGTTTGTTAAGTTGTCTAGTTGTTCGCCCTATATAGCTTTCTCCACAGGAGCAACTCAATTTATAGATACACATCGAAGTGGCACAACTAGGTAGCTTATCTTTCACTTGAGCAATCAAAATTGGTTGGCTGGAAAATGACAAACAAAGGGTGGCGGCAGTATAAGTCCGTTTTATCGCTCTTGATAATCTCAGATGTAAGACTTCACTAGCCACGTCCCCATTAAATTGAAGTTTCATGAACAGTTCTTTCTTTTTAACCGTTGTCAGTTTTTCTTTGTTGTACCTGGTATTCATGTGTCTCCTAACAAATCTACTAGGATAACCCATTTGGACCAGCGTATTTTGGATATATCCTAGCTCATTTTCTAGGGAGTCATCTGTACAAATACGTCTTGCTCTATTCGTAAGACATTTGACCAAAGTGATTTCGTATCGGATTGGTACAAAACTGAGGAAATGTGTATATTGTCCTATAGACATCTCTCTTGAGTGAACCATCCTCTCTTCTGCTCAATTGGACGTCAAGGAAATTTAATCCACCATCATGTTCTTCTTCACAAGTGAAGATGAGCGATGGATGTGCATCATTAAACTTTTTTAACATTTCATTCTTGTCAGTTTTCACATCAAGAATAATGAACGTATCATCAACATAACGAAAATAAGAATCAGTTTTCTCTATTACTTGTCTCAATGGACCATTTTCAATCTTGGCTAGAAAGAAATCTGCCAAAATTGGCCCCAGTGGAGAACCCATGGCAATACTGTCGATTTGCCTGTAGTAAAGGTTGTTGAATATGAAATATACATTTATAGTACATCTTAAAAGCAACTCTTTCAGACTAATAACTGGAATCCCAGTGTCAATCTGCTTTTCTAGTAACTGTTGGCATATGAATTCCACAGTCTCCATAAGTGGTACACTAGTAAACAGTGACGCTACATCTAAGGAAAGCATTTGCTTCCCATTTACATTGATATCATTCACGTTAGCAATAAATTCAAAAACGTCTTTAACACTTTGGTTCACTACCAACTTGTGTAGTGGTTAGAGGAGTTCACCTAGCAACTTTGCCACTCCATGGTAGGTAGGTACATTTACCACATTATTATTATTAAGATTATTATTTGATTCCCAAAATCACCGTCATTGGTTAAAATTTTATATATAAATCTATGTAAATTAGAGTAAAGCCTGAAGAAGATCTAATTGAAAACAATATTGTTCGCTTATATGTCTTGTTCTAATGTCAATTCGTAGTCTGAATCGAAAAACAAATCAACCCCTTAAAAATCAACTATTGAAGATGAGAAAAACCAAAAATAGTCAATCATATATTGTGACCTCTGCAAAAATATTATCGTGTTTTAACATAAGAAATGACGCGTTTTCCAAATGACAGACAACATACACACTCACGCTCATACAAACAAACGTGCATGTATGATGTTTTGACATTGGTCAT